CCCCTTGGTTTGCAATTTAATTTTCTTTTCTTTCTTTTAAATTTCTTTCAATTGTTTTATTTTTATAATTATTATTAACTCACTAAAATTAATTTTCCATAGAAAAATCAGAAACTCAAAAAATGTTTTTTTAATTAATATTTAATTTCACCATTTGAATATTTTTGTAAATAAATAACTAACAATTAATCTAGTTAATTTAGGTTTTAACTCAATATTTTCTTAATAAATAAAATACATAGAATTATGTTTTGACATTTTATCTTTTTCTTAATTAAATTTTTCCTCATTATTTATTATTATTATTAATTATTATTTTTGTACATAAATATGTAAATAATTAATTAGCTTAAGTTAGGTTAACCTTAATATTTCTCATTAATAATTAAAATAATTTAGATTTAGGGTTTCCTTTTAATTCTTTTTCTTTATTTCATTAAACACCAAAAAAACATAAAAAAACATTTCCTTTAAATAATTAATTAGGCTTTAATTTAATTTAATTTAATTTCTCAAAAGGGTCAAAACCCTCGGACGCTCCAATTTATTCTTTTCGCACATTATTTTCTTATTGAATATTATGTAACTGCTTTCCGGATGTAATAGTAATTAGGTTTACCGCATTTATTTACTTTCCGCATTCTTTATCAAAAACGGGTCTTTGTATTTTGGCGATGTATAGACCCGCGCCTTGTAATAGCGTAGCTTTTATCTTTCCGTCTTTTAATTTTCCGCACTCTTAAATTCTAACTTTGTATGAAAGAATGTATGCTAATTAAAAACAAGCGTAACTCACAATGCCATGATCAAAGATAACTGTTAAATTGACAACAACACACAAATACACACACCACTTCTAGGGTACGCCTCACCTGTTGCCTTCGAAACGTGGTCGTCAAGTATGGGACGTCTTAGCGGTCCTTATGTCCATGATCCAGTTGCCTTGAAACAGTTGCCTCGAAATAGTTGCCTCGAAACGGTTGCCTCGGATTAAAAAAGGATCAAGGACATAAGGGTAGCTTCTAAGGTGTCATGTTGTTGCTTCGGTGACCACACTGTCCCTACAATCGAATTGACCCGAACACCTCCAACGGTAGTGCTACCTATCTCTCAATGGTGGGATGGCACTACCTTAAGGACTTCTACACAGCTTAATTCCTTAGGGTAGGTAGATGACTCATGGATACTTGCTCTCTAAAAAACAAATCAAAACATCTTTTCACACCGACACTTTTCAAAAAGCTTTCAAAATAATTTTTCAAACACTCTTGAGGACAGATACAAGAGTTATTCAGAAATCTTTCAAAGAAACTTTTTCAAACCCACTCATATTTTGAAAAGCAAACAAACATTTTGAAAACATAAGAGCAAGTATCTAAGAGCCCATGGATAACCATGGATAGAAAGGGTGCTAACACCTTCCCTTTCTATAAATCTACCTCCCGAACCGAGAAACATTCTCGAAAAGGAATTTTGCTGTGCTTTTGTCCTTTTCTTGTTGGAGAAAATAAAAGACGGTGGCGACTCTTGCTTTCGCGACATTTCGCGAACCAGCGTTAAACAGTCAGTTCTAAATCCACCGATCACACCTGCCATAAACGAAGTTGGCATCCCATACTGAGGATTTATGGGTCTCAAAGGTTCGAAACCTGGAGGCCTAGGGGGGGTCGAATACTGTTGATTCCCTATGTGTGGCGCAGTTTGCACTGAAGACACATTTGATGGCATGTCTAACGTGCTTACTGGGATTGTATTCGAACTGCCAACAAGAATGACATTGGAGGCATCAATCGAACTTGAAACGATTGTTGCAGCCCCCTGTGGAGGATTCTGTACCCCATCTTGGTTGGTTGTATTAACCATTATTTTGGTACGTTGTTTTCTGGGTATATGTGGATTGTTATTCTTTATTTTGCCGCTTCGAAGGTTCATGTACTGAAACGCGCTCCACACTCAGAAAATCCTAAAACTTCTTTAATATGTTTGATAAAACTTTTTGTTATGACACTGTCCCATCAGGTGTGCCAATTTGTTTACAGTGATTTCTAGTAAACAACCGCTAGTCTTCCAATTTACTAATTTATTATTGGTTACTTGCAGGATCGACTAGATTGATCCTAGAACACATGTGTCATAACTTATTTTTATGTTCATATCTATTATATTGATAGACTTATATTGTATGTTAAGTTTGAAGACGAGATTCTTAGGAAAGATTTCTACAATGGTCTATAGGAATAAACTAAATGAATGTAGGCAGGAAAGGCTTCGAATTAAATTTGGGCTTGAATGTAAAGATAAGTGTTTGACTCAAAGGATAGAGTAAAAGTAAATCGAAGGATTTAAGGATAAAAATACTGTTTAACGAAATAACTGTGTTTAAAGACAAGTAAAACAAAGGAAATGCAAGGAAATCGAAGGATTTAAAGACAACGAAATGACTGTAATGCAAGGAAATTGAAGTGTTTAAAGGACAAGGGAATATTGTAATGCAAGGAAATGTAAGTATGTAAAGAGCAAGGAAATACTGTAAAGGTGATCGAAGGATTTAAAGACAACGAAATACTGTAAAGTTGAATTAAATATAACAAGACTTGTATTGAAATTGTAAAAAAGTAATGATGTTCAACACGTACATTGTATCTTCTGACTCGTTTTCCTTAATTCACGGAAGTAATGAGTGTTTTGAGATATTTTAGTACATAAAAGTGAACATCTCTAAAATCTAACATAAGAACACCTATTTATAGTGTTTCGACCCTAACGACCCTATTCTAAAATCACGCCACGTTCGAAACACGCAGGCTTCCTATGCTTGCTGACTTCCACGCGTCTTCTAGGATGGCGCTCTTTATTTGAAATTCGAAATCTGTACTAATCGAAGCATCTTGCGAAATATGTACCAATCAAAGCATCTTGTCTCTTCGTTGCTTTCGAAATAACCCAATTACTTGGACCGTTTCCAACTTCTGGCACCCTTACATAAATGAGCTCTTTTGTAATTCGAACACCAAAAAAGTCCAAATCAAAATCTGCTGGAACTTGAATAATCCTTCAACATAAAGACCCCATATCTTCCACCAATATCCAATATTGATATTAATCTCCTTAGGTACTTCATTCGAAATATTATTTGATAGCGGTTTCTTCCTTATTCGAAATAGCCAGCTAACAGTTATATCAATCTAAAGTTCATTTATTGGGACAATAACATCTTTATTTTCATGTAGTGGTATTGAGTTGAACTATACATTATTGGGTGATTTTGCATCTTCTTTGTTTCATGTCCTGTCTGAAACATATAATACTGGTGTTATTGTATTGATTATCAATCATGTGAAGGTAAAGGTTTTGTTTGATAATTTCGAATAACTTATCAACCTAAGAATCTCCGTGTAACATTTTCTAAAAATTTATTGGTCTCCTTGGATGAATTCAACCCGCCCGCCTAAGAACGGGTATTTCATGCACAAATACAAAATAGATAAGACAGTGCCCAGTTGATTAGAATTTGGTCGCCATATAATCGTATTATAATTAGATACCTGACCTTGATCTCCTTGGCTTACTATCCCACTCCAAAGGTGGTCCTCAGTGAGATGTAGCTTTTCACTTGTACTTGCTCCTCGGAGAATCCAACTTGTGATTCTTTGAAAGCTTTCAAGTCTTATGGGTCGAGACGAAGCCTCTCAAATACGTCTCAGTAAAAGATATATGTGATGGTTCCTTGATATATGAGAACTCTTTTGATTTCTCAATTGTCACACCTAACGAGGATGACCATGGGGTCGTCGTTATGAGGGTGAATGCATGTTACATCTTTTTCTGAGAAGGATATCTTGATCTATAGAATTTTTGTTTCACCATCCTCCGACTCATTAGGAAAATCTTCTATATTCAATACCTGACATGAATACCTTGATAATCATGACTATCTAATAAAAGCAAACAAATTGGATTATGTCAAAATCTTCAAGAGATTTAACCAAGTGTCAGCGCAAAAAAGATTACAATTGACAAAGGCTTAGAGAAAATATCTTAAATTAGTAAGTGAGTAAAACTATGTAAAAGCAAAGGGATGACAATAAGCACGCACACATAAACATTTTTCTCAAATGATTTACCAAAAGAAAATATTTTGAAAAACATATAAAAGTTGTATAGAACGTGATGGGAGCAGTCAAAAGCCCAGTCAAAAGCCAGTCAAAAACCCATAAAAGATTTTTTTTTACTATATTTAATCGGTTTGAGAAAAATACTAACTGATTAAATTGACGCGTGTTATACCCCAAATTTGTCCTACCGCTTTACTTTTATCTGGCTTATGCTTATCATTTCATCTACATACATGGTCTCCGAATTCATTCATTTAGGTCATGCATTTAACACATCGCTCATTGTATTTTACATAACACCATCATTAGATCAAGGTTTAGTGATGTTTAGTTTTAAGTTTAAAGTGAATTTTCAAAGACGGAATATTACTTGGTGATTATTCGGATTTATTTCCCATATGTATTTATGGTGCAGATCATCTATTTATTTGAGATTCAGGGTTACTAGAAGGATCGAAATGACTATTGCTCGGTTCAGACAATTACTTGAATTCAAAGGAAAAAGTAAAAGATGAAAAATTCTAAGGAATACTTCATTCATGAAAAGTCGTGATATAACACTTATTTCTTGAGATATAAGTAAGTGGAATGAATTACAAGGAATGGGGATAAGAAATTACAACTTTTTGGTACAATTGACCTTTTGGTCAAACAGTTGACTTTCCAGTCAATTGTTGACTCTTGGTCAACTTTTGACACCCGACGTTTTTACTCTTGAATATTCATAGACCTATTCTACAATTTTTAGATCAAGATATCTATCATTTATCATCAAAAATCAAGAAATTACAAGTTTATGCTTCATGAAGAAATTCCAACAAAAATCAACTTCCATCGAGCCTTCTTTCCATGCCTCTATCTCCACTTTCCGACATCAGTTCGAGCTCATTCTTCCGCCATGGTGTTCACCTTGCCTCAAAGAAGAGGACACATCAAATAGTTAGTGTGATACGGTGGGATAACTGACTTGGGTTTTGCGTTTGTTTTCGCAAATGTTTTGGTTGAGCAAGAGTCGCCACCGACTTTTTATTTTATCCTAAGGAAAGGTTAAAAAGCACAACAAAAACCTTTGAGATGTTTTCTTGGGTTCGGGGAGTAGATTATAGAAAGGGAAGGTATTAGCACCATTTCTATCCATGGTTATCCATGGGCTCTTAGTTACTTGCTTAGATCAACTTGCCTTGATTTTCAATTGTTTGAAATGGTGCTTTGTGTGTGGATTTTGAAAATGTTTTGAAAAGAGGGCAATGTGGTGGCAACCTTTGTAATGATCCATGTTAGGATGTATACAAAGGGGTACTTATCTTTTGAAAAGTTTTCAATGTTTTTGAAAGTGTGTTGTGATGTGTGATTTTGAAAAAATAGGCAAGTGTTTTTGTTTTTACAAGTTGGCAAGTAACCAAGAGCTATCTACCCTAAATTTCTCAAAGATCATTGCTATGTTTTAACCCTTTTAACAATTTTGTTCCACTATTGTATTTGATGGACAATCTTGTGTTAGGATGTGAACGGGACGGACGCGGGTCATCATTTAGACCATGATTGCAATGGTGCCAAATGTTTTTGGGCAATTTTTCCTTTAAGGGACTTGATCATTTTTAGGCAACTTTCGAAAGCGTCATCGAGGGACTATGATCATTTGGTATTGCTTTGTTTTGCCAAAGACACCCAACATGCAATATGGCCCATTATTAAAGGCAACAAGTGGAGTAACCCTAAGGGGTGCAAGTGTGATTGGTGTTTGTTCATTTTCATGCTTTTATCTTGGAATTAGGTCAAGCTATTTGTTTTGGTTGATTTTTGCATACAAACCCTAAGTCTATCATGGTATGTTTTAGAAAGCTTTTAAATGCGAAATTTAAAATCCTAAACTATTACAACATAATTATGGGATGGGGGGTACAAGTGTTCAAATGAGGATATTTTAGCAAGAAATTAAAACCTAAGCTATTACATCCAAATTGAAATTTTACAAGGTATTTATTTGTACAATGATTAAATAAAATATAATAAATATGCAAGATGCAAAAAATGATTTTTATATGTATGTAAAAAGTGTTTTTCATGTGACAAATAAACAAAAATAAAAATGAATAATTTTTGGGTTTTTTTATGTCTTTAGGGCAAAACCCTAATTTTGCTAAATAAAGGGTATTAATTATTTATTATATGCAATCTTTATTAATTATGTACATAAAATAAATAAAAAGAAAGTATATTGTAAAAAAGTGATTTTTAAAGTTAAAAATCAGAAAATAAAAATGTATTGGTACTATTTTAGTATTTTTAAATAAAAGTATATTATATATTTATTTACATATAAAACTAAATGAAACAAAATAAATGGCAAAAAAATGCAAAAAAATGTGAGAAAAATATTTTTAATATTTTTTATGCTTTGACAAAAATGAATAAGTCAGAAACAAAAATCAAAAGTCAAAAATAATGAAAATAAAATACAATGGGCCAAGGGGGTGCATGTGTGAGAATATGGTGCAAAAAGAAAATCAAACTCAGGCCCAGCCCAAGAGGGGTTGTCTTCAACCTCCAGACTTGTTTGAACAACAACAACACGCGTTTCCTAACTCCTGATTCCTGGACTTTCAAGCAAAACTCATAACACAAAAAATGTAGAGCATCAAGAGACGAATCCAGACATATAAAAAACTTGACTTAACTCTCAGAAATGAGAGAGAATTTCTCCATCCCTAATTCTTGACCTAAGTTTTTTCTAATATTCAGGTTCCAAATTCTCTCAGCACATGCAATATAAATGGAAAGTAATTATATGTGTAGCTTCAGGGCCATGAGTAGAGCATTTTTCATTCATAAACCTAAAGTTAACTCTTCATAGATTGAAAGATAGAAGTCCATGAACTTACCTGTTCATCTTGGATCGTGTCTGACAATGGAGGGACTTTCAGTGCAATGTGAGGACTTGTACAGCTTGCTTGAAGTTCAGGGATGCTTCTCCAACCTTTAGCTTGCTTTGAAACTAAATGAATCGAGCTATAGGAGTCAACCTGCAAAACAGAAAAAGTGAAAATGGTGAAGTTGGTTAGAGGTGTTACAGTCTGAAGCTAGGGCTTGGGATAGTTTGTATGGATGCTATGGAGTGTGTATGAAGTGGTTTTGGCCAAGGCGCACGAATGGATTGAGTTGCAGAAGTCCAACTGCATAAGGGACTCTGTTTTTTACAGTAGGATGGTGTTTTGATGAATGATGAGGTTTGGAAGGTGGTTAGCTCGTGCCTTAGCTCGGTTATGATGTTTGGAATGCATTTTACAAGTTTGTCTAAGCTTGTGTTGGCAGAAATGTGAGATGATGTTGGTTATGCAATGTTTCTTCTATCTTAAGCAAAGTTTGGCAAGTTGGTTTACAAGCTTTCCTAGGCCCCTCAAGTATGCTGCACACTTGAGTCTTGATCAGTGTGATATCTCCATGAATCTTGTGTCCAAAGATATGCATTGTACCACTTGGATTCCAAATTTGACATAAAGTGTAACTTTACAAAAATGGATAAATTGCTTTTTCCAATTAAGGCTTAATTCTTTGTGTAATGACTATATGAACAAAACAAAGCTAGAACACAATGGATTGACATTTAATTTTTGAGTGTAAATGAGATTAGAGGCCTGTAATGTAGCTTGCATATGCTGAGTTTGAAAATGCATAAGTTATGAACATGGAAATGGCTCATGAACAAAGTGACTTTTGCCCATATTGTCAAATTCGATTCTCCCTAACCACAAGGGTGTTTGAGAAGTTCTTGGACATTTTGGAAAGCTTGGAATGTGTATTACAATCCATCTTTGTAATGAAAGTTGAGATTCCAAGTGGAAGCAAGTGAAAAGTGGCCATGAAGTTAGGCAAAAATCATGCCTAAAATAGGTCAAAAATTTTCTAAGTTAAGAAGGTTTTGCACCCTTGTTCCAAAAATTGTAACTTGAGCTACAAGCTTCTTTTGAGGAAACTTTGTGAATCAAAGTTATAGATTTTGCAATGGACTACAACTTTCATGTTTTGAGTTTTCCTTGAATCCAAATGTATCTTAATGAAAAAATGGGACAAAGTTAGGAAAAAATTAGGAATTTTCATAACTTTAGAAAAAATTCCAAGTTATGAAATTTCTTCATTTCAAACCCTAATTTGTGATTTTTGATTTCTTGATGAACAAGTTTCATAATTTGACATGTCTTGATGAAAAATGAATCTTGACACTTGATTTTGACCAAAAAGTCAAAGTTTGACTTTTCAATATACAGTCAATTCTGGCTCAGTTGACTGGAAAATTCATCTGTCAATCTTGTGCATTTGGGATCTTTTGAACTTGTTGAATGTGTCAAGACAATGCCATTGAGTCCTTGAGTCCATATGTGAGCTTGGTTTGCCATTGGTTAGGTCAAACAGTCAAAAATTGCCCTTGTGCAGTCAAAACCCTAAAAATGACCATTTTGCCCTTTTGGTGATCTGATCAAATTTCTTGTGGAATTGTGATCCAAACTTGATCAAATGGTCCATATGAGTTCATAATGTTGATGTGGATCAAATTTCATGAGGTTTGACTGTCAATTGACCACAGTTGACTTTTTTCCCAATACAACTGATTTCTAGGTCAACTGTCCAATTGACTGGGCAAAGATTGGAATCAAGGCTTGAAACTTGGTATGGGTAAACTTGGGAGTCCAATACGAAGCATGAAAGTCATTTTGGGCCCTTTAGGTCAAAACATCTTTGCACACACACAAACCCTAATTTGGGTCAACAGTGCAAGGAGAAGTCTTGAGCAGAGCAAACCCTAACTTGATCCTGAGCTCCAAGGGTCTTATGGTGAGAAAATGTTGAAGAAATGGGAGGGCAAATTTTGGGGTACAACAATTAGCAAACGTCATGAGCCGAAGTCATCCGACAGTTGCTCGAAAATCAAGGAAAAATTATGCATTTACACTTAGAAAAAAGTTGGCATGGTAAGGTTTGTTTTTGCAACATTCCCTAAGTTTTGCCTCAAGCAAAAATCAGAGTTTTATCATAAAAAAAAAGTGTTTATTTCAACAAAAGCAATTCCCAAAAGAAGCATTCAAAAGCATGGTTTAATTCATGAAAACTCAAAGCAAAAAGTGGAGAATTCAAAGTAAATACAAAGCAAAATTCAAGTTATTTCAAGTGACCATTAGTCTTACATTGAGACTTGGTACTTATGCTAAGATTCAACATGTCTTGCTATTAACTAACTCCAACTTCCTTAAAGTCCACAAACTAACACAAACTATAACCAATTTTTTACCAATTTTCTAACAAACCTCCACCATTGATAAACCCTTGATCCAATGGTCAAAATTGGTGATCCGCAACTAATCCCCAAATCAATTCCCAAACATTGATAAAGTGATTACTTGGATTATAATCTAATGATCCATAATCATCCAAAAAGCTATATAAACTACCATTTTTCCCAATTTTGGGGGCTTAACCATTTTTATTCTTTTTTCAATAATTCAAAACCATTCTCTAACTTCTAATCTTCAACACTTTTCCACCATTGTCATCACCTTCACCAAAAGCTCATTTTCATCACCATTTAGGATTTCACATTGAAGTCCTAAACTTGGTGGAGCTTAACCCCAAGCATTCAACCATTCATCTATAATCAACATCAAGCATTCAACAAGTTTCTATTCAATTTCCATATATTTCAACAATTCAAGGATCATCACATTCATCAATGTTCATCAATCCAAGATTCAAGCTTTATCGGTTTTCTATCATCATCAATCAATATTCATCTTATCATCAAGCAAGAATTATTTGGAAGCTTAAAGGATTACCTCTTGAAGTTTTCCAGGTTTCTTTCTCCTTAATTTCGTCGATAAAATTCAACAATAACTAGAGCAAATCTCCGCTCCGTTGGTAAGCCTGGAACCTCCATCTTCTCCATGCCACATCCATGAATTTTCTTGTATGAATTGCTTGTTGAATGTATGTGGTAGAGCCTAATGTATGCCCCTGTTTTTACATAGTTTGATTAGAATAAGCACTTAATTATTCAAGATTTCTCACATTCAAGTAGCATAGAAAATCAAAATAAGCATTCTTGACTTGTTTCTAGCTTAGTTATAGCATATAGATGCATGTTAGCATAACATAGCATTAGTCTTAGGCCTAATCCAAAACAGCTTATTAGAATAAGCACTTTTTTTGCATCCAAAAACCATATTCAAGTAGTAACGATTTTTTATATAGTTTTAACATAGAATAGAATTAACATAGTATTGGAATTGAACTAAGCATAGAAACATATGATAGTTTCTTGAAAAATCACTTTTTTATTCAAAACCCCAACTTTGACATAAACATAAAAAAGCACTTTTTTTCACATTTCAAAATCCCAAACCACAACCCCATTCATGAAAATAATAATAAAAATAGAAAACCCATTAAATTTCAAGCACAAAACTCTTTTCTTTCATCAAATTTGAGCAAGAATTGAATTGGAATTTTTTTGAAATTTCTTCATACCTTTCGTGGAGGTTTTGAGAAAAGAGGAAGAAAGAGTTTGAGAGAGTTGGAGATGAGAACCACCCCTTGAGGGGGAGTGGCGCCTCCGCCTCCGCCTCCGCACAGGGACGGCCGGCCGGCCGCCACCCGAAGCACCACCGCCACCTTGTTTTTTTTCTGTCGTTATTTTTCCTCTTGTTTTCACGTGAAAACGGAATTGTGGAGAAGAGGAAAATTGGACCGGTACGGTCCGGTCAACCGGCCGGCCGGTCCGGTTCAGGGGTTCTATGTTTTTTTTAATTTTCTTTTTCTTTTTTCTTTTACATTTTTTAATAATACTCATTTAGAGCTTTTTTCCTGTTTACACCCTCTTCATTTTTTCTGCATTGAACCAGCAAGCAAATCAAATTAGATCAGACTTAATTTCTTTTTCATTCTTTATTTTCAGCAGCCCATTAACTCTATTTTACTCACACCATAATGTACATTCTAACATAGTGCATCATTTTTTTTAATAGTTTCACTAAAAAATTTAGAATAATTTTGCTAACATAATTTTAGGACTAATATAATTTTAGACTTTAGAGTATAAAGAGTAGAATTTTTAATTTTTTTTCTCACTCTTTTATCTTGATTTTATGAATATTTGATGTTTTGTCTTGCTCGATGCTTGATAGTTGTTTTGATTACTTGTGTATTTTCACATGTTCTCTTAAGATTTTTAATTCAATTTTAATCCTTTGATTAAATTGAATTAATTAGACTTTAGACTTGTAAATCATGCATGTCAACGTTAAGTAGAATTCTCTTATCCCAACTTTAAGACCGTGTATGGCAAGATAAAACCAACAAGCAGATCACCTTAATCAAAGATTAAATGCATGCAAATCAAACACACTTTGCACACATACACCCTTAAGGTTAACTCCACTTGTTTCCTAAAAATGGCCATTTTATGCATGTGGCATACTTAGCACAAACAAAAATATAAGATCATAGTCCCTCAATGACGCTATCAAAGTTGCCTTTCGAAATGATCTTAGTCCCTAAAGAAAAAGTTCTAAGTCATCTCACAACATTGCTATCATGGTCATAAGATGACCCAAATGTCCGTCCCTTCACATCCAACGATGGGGCTTCTTACCAAATCAATGGTAAGATAGCAACATCTAAAGGAGGAGGAAAAGCATATTTAAGACCTTTTGAGTAGGTAGGTTCGCTCTCAGTTACTCGCTTGCTCACAACAAAAACATTTATACACCAACACTCTCACTTTGAAACATTTTCAAAAGATAAACACTTTGTACGCGTCCTTATAGAAACGAGAGTCATTACAAAGAAAACCCTTTTCAAAATCACTTTCAAAAACACATCTTTGAACTATTTTCAAAACAACACTTTGTACGCATCCTTATAGAGACGAGGATCATTACAAAGTTACATTTTCAAAATACTTTCAAAAACTACACCACAAAGCACATTCAAACAAAAGCAAGTGATCTAGCAAGTAACTAAGAGCCCATGGAAAACCATGGATGAAAATGGTGCTAACACCTTCCCTTTTCATAACCTACCCCCCGAACTCAAAAACATCTCTAAAGGTCTTTCCTGTGCTTTTTCACCTTTCCTTTTGGATAAAAGAAAAGTCAGTGGCGACTCTTGCTAAACCGCAACATTTGCGAACACAAATGCAAAACCTGAAGTCAGTTCTCCCACCGTATCACAGAACTGGCGACTCTGCTGGGGACAAGATAACTTAAAAGTGAGGTTACCTTAGGGCTAAATCACCTTTACTTGATTACATTGTTTGATTTGTTTGCTTTATATTTTGGTTCCTTGTTTGGGTTTGTTTTAAATCCTACACCCGGATTTGGGGCACTTTTTAGGTAAGTAGCAATAAACTGTGAGGGAACTGTGCGGCGTATACCGACATGGTTGAAGCAGTAGCTACATTGATGTGGCACTTTAGTTGGTACCGGTAACCCTTGAGTTGAATCAAGGAGAGTACGGGGTCTTCGTGTTGTGTTGTGAAGCATCAACTTACCTTAGAACCTTACTTGACCAACTTGGCCATTAGGAAGTAGTGAGATAGACGATTTCAGTGTAAAGCTGAAAATTGGTTGATACTCGATGCTACACTTATTGAGACTTGACCCCTGAGTTTTGTTCAGTTGCGAGTCAATTGCTTATTGAACGAAGCTTATGGGAAAAGTTAGTGATATTGAGATCCCTTAGAATTCGGTTACTATTAACTAGGACAGGTTGAGCCAACTAAACTTTAAGAGGGTACTTACCTACGAACTCCATGCAAGCCTAAACCTAAGGACTTGTCTGCTTTGTGTTAATATGATTATTTGTATACCTCGCATACTTGTACATAACATCATAACATCATAAACATCATGCCATAACATTTTCAATAACCATTTCAAGGATCTCGAGGGTCTTTGATGCATGATCACGTTGAACCAAGACGTTCATCAAGAGACAAGAGGATTTATTTCCCTCTAACCAAACATCGTCAAAATCAAGTACAACGAACCAGAGTCAAGGGCTATGACCCACTCGATATGGTGAGCTTGACTCTTGAATAAGGACTCCCAACGACACGAAGTTTCTTCAATCAAGCTGCAATCAAATTCTAACAGTTTCTTGTTTACCCCACGAGATCCTTGAAAACATTGCATATATATCATACATATCATTGCATAACAGGATTCATAACAGGTTTCTCATCTCCTCCGCTGTTTATTTCAGCAATGGCTCTTGAATAAACTATCAAGGAAATCCAAGCTCAAAACGCTCAACTTCAAGAGATGTTCTTGAACCTATCCAAGGGGCAAGAAGAGGTCAAGGCACTCCTCACCAGGGGCATGATCAAGGAGAATCCGGAGGGCACCAAGGATGATCAGTTGGAAAGGCTACAAACTGAAATAGCCATAATGAGGGTCCAAATGATGGGACAACTGGTGGGCCAGATGGCTCTTATCCAAAATCTGGCTCAAAGACAAGAAGAGCTAAAAGTTCTTGTCAACTAACTTCGTCAAGACGGTTGCAACCGTATGGGGCAAACAATCAGGGTTGGAAATCAAGTCATTTCTCAGCCTCCCATGAGACAAGAAGCTGGGAGACCATCCCAATTCGCTGCCATGTCGCGAGCCCAACAACGACTTCGTCAACATCAACCCGAAAATCAGCCAAAGGTCGAAAGACCTCAAAGGCAGTTCACCCAAATCAACATGCCTTTGTCTCAAGCGCTACAACACTTGTTGAGGATGAATCTGATTATATTGATAGGACCTCATCCGAACCCCAAAACTTCGTCTCCTAACTACAATCCTAATGCAACATGTGCTTACCATTCTGACAGTCCCGGGCATGACACTAACGATTGTTGGCATTGAAGTATAAAATTCAGAATTTGATTGACGCCAAGGAGATCGAGTTTGACCCTCCGGAGACTCCAAACATGATCCCTACTCCTATGTCAAGTCATTGAGAGCGTCTTGTTCATTTTGAATTTTCAAGTTGTAATCTCTTTTGTTATTCAAACAATTATCTATTAATGTCAAACTTGGTTTCATTAATGCATTGCATATGTTTGTCTCAAATTATTTTATGTTCATTACATTTAAACTATGCTTTTTACTCACTTTATGACATTCAACTCTTGCTAAAAGTTACAAGCCTTTAGAGGGAGGATGACGAAAACAATGCCATAATCTCATACAGTATGCTTTTGGATAGACCTTGTTGACGATGTACAAGCATTCATTTAAATCCTAAACACTGGAGTTATAAGGAAGATAATCCTTAGTCAACCCCTTCAAGTCAAAGAAGTAGAAGTTTTCTGTTTTAACACAAATTGAAACCTTTAATCGAAACCTGGGGCAGGGTAGTCTCTCAGTTAATTCAAATGCGCGTTTAAGCCGCAAACTCTCATCTCGTAATACAACAAATGAAATCAAAAACATTCCTCTGGAATCAAAAGATAGTGATGGTTCCCTACCAAATAGGCGGTCATTATCTCTCAAAAAGAAAAGCCCACTAGGTCAAAACCTACAAAGGAGACTTAAGAAAAACTGGGGCATCCCGCTGATTGTAATCTCAAAACAAGAACAATCAGGCAAAAATCAGGGATAACAAATCAAAAAGAGGTCACTACAAATCCTCAACAACATGAAAAAGGTTGCAAAAAAATAATAATAAAATGAATGCCTTCCGATAAACTTAACTTGTCTGAACCATCACCAAAACGTCATTCCAGACTCAATTGGAGTTCAAACGCACAAGTAGCTGAGTTTAGGACCGAAGAACATCATGAAGAACGGGTGGGTACAAATACTTTGAGCCTTTATCTTTTGTTTCTTAAACCGTGAACCAAGCCACGTTACAACCCTTCAAAAGTCCTAATTGAAGCATGAGTTAGTTCGAAAGCATACTGTTACAAAAGGTATCCTGACTCCTGTAAGACTTTACTCAAAATCCAAAGTTGAATTACAAACTTCTTTACTTGCTAAAAACACATTTTTCAAAACTTCAAGACAAACATAAACTTTGCATTACTTGAATATCACTGTTTGCATATGGCTATTTGTTTGACAACAGAGAAATTCACACAACAAATATCTAGTGAACAAAAGCTCTCTCAGTAAACAAAATCACTTCAAGTAGGATGACACTTCCATTGATGAACCTCCTATCAATAAGGGGGCATGACATGTCACTATCCAGCACACCTGGGGCAGTCCAGTCAAGATTTCAAGAAATCTCTCAAAGTGCAGAGTAACCAGGGGCAGGGCTCCATCCCCGTCACTTGGGGCATTGAACGTCAATCCCGACAAAAGGGTTATGTACAGTCAAACATTTCCAGGCGGTGCCACAAACACTCGCTACTAGGGGCATTGACAAATCTCCACAAAATCCTTCTCATAGGATGATTCCCCAGCAAGATTTTCAATCTCTGAAGACCTTTCCCCAGCTGAGACAACCTCAAGAATCCTCAAGAACCTTTTTCCCAACAAAGTCGTCACCTTTCTAGCAGACCGGCAACAGGGTTTATTTCCCTAACAAACGGAAGAAATCCCCAGCTTAAAATGGCCTCTCCAACTACTACAAATCAAAGAGCCACAACCCCTAAATCCCCAATAAAGCCTTCCATAAAGCCTTTATTATTACCAAGAAATTCTATGAAACCTGGACTCGACCATATAATCGCCTAGCTCTTCAAAGATATAGAAGAACCTAAATTCAATCCGACCAAGGTTTAACTTCTTTTCCCCGGTAGAGTTAACCTCTCTATCCCAACAAAGGGCTAAGAAACTTGGATCCGACCAGATATCATTCCTCATTTCCAACCTTTCAAGAAATCCATTACGAAGCCTGGATCCGACCAGATAGCAATCACCCTCAGAGATTCGTTGTGAAACCTGGAAATCGACCAGATAACAACTAAATCCCCAAGCAGTTCATTGTGAAGCCTGGACCCGACCAGATAGCAATCACC